CTACTGCCATATACCTCTGAGTAAAATTTTGGCTCCTTAATCTTAGGGAAGCAAACTGGGAGAAAGCTGCAGCCAGACCTTGCCAACAGAGCATAAAGTTTAGCTTCTTTCCAGTTTATTTGACCTTCACGGCCAGCGTATGAAAAATTAACAGTAAGACTCCAAAACTCCAGCCTCTACCTTTTGCAAGACGCTCAGGAAGATGATTCACTGCTGTCACCGGTTGCAGAGAGCCAAAACATCTCAGGACCCGGGAACCACCAGCTCGAGCCTGGCAGCCGGGGGAGGCTGTTTGTGCCAAACCTGCCTGGCGAAGGCTGAGCATCGGCACAGCCCGTGCCCAGGTGGCCACGCTCCACATTTGGGTAGTGGCCGTGTACTGCCGCCCCACAGAGAGGAATATGAAGGGAACCTTTCAGGGCTAAAGTACTGGCCTGGTGCAGCCTCTCTCACTAACCTTCATGCAGTGGTTTGTATAAGCTACACATTTCATAGCTCAGCAAATCAGAAGGCCAAACAGCCCAAGCTCCCACTTGGTGCTAGGGCTGGGCTGCCCACATGGTTTTCCCACTGAGAAACAACTTGCAAAGAGGCAGAGTGGGAGGCCAGGTCCTGCAGTCCTCCCACTGCAGCACAGGCAGCCCCTTTGCTGTCAGGAAGGCAGGGGTTTCTGCTAAACCACACGGGACAGGAAGAACGCGATGAGCAAGACACCCTTCACAGGCTCCACTCGGACAATTGCCAAGTTTTGTTGTGTCCGGCTAAGTTTCATTCCAGGGGACTGCTGGGTTCAGCACGCTTAGAAAACAGCGTAGAAGGGCATGCACGTCTTTAGGGGTCCACCCAGGCTTGCAAAACACAGCTGGAAGCCTGTGATGGATCCCTGCCCTGAAAACTTCATGCCTGCATATGAAGCATCCCAATATCCAAAGACAAAATTCCAACGGGTACGGGTGGAGGGCAAAAGGGAGAGCACCAGCTTGGGATTCCTCAGCACTGAAACCCTTGCTGTAACATAAGCAATGCAGAAGTTCCTACTCCAGCAGTGGATCACAGCAGACAGCAATCGCAACCATCAGCAAACATATTTCAAGCCAACCTGGTTAATGGAAACTGAAATCTTATTTTGCCTGATCCAATTTGCTCATCTAGAGGCAAGGAGTCCATCAGCTGAAACAGCAAGTTCTTGCAGCTGTTGTAGTAGCACTTCTCTCTTTTGAAAGCAACATACTCATTTTTAACACCACATTCAAGCATGCTGAATGTCGCATGACTGCCGGAGCGCAACCAGGGGACTGATGCCTCTGGATATTGATATCCAGGGACAACTGCTTTTCTAATCCTTCGGCAAAAGGGAAAAGAAAGTGTGACCAGAACCAAAGAAATCAGGCAGACCTTCCCTACCCTAATGATAAACATGAAACTAACTTCCAAGGGAAGCCATGGCCTTTTCTTCTTTTGAGATCTTTGTGGGGTTTTTTTGGACTCTCCCCATTCCCAAACATCCTCCCTCAACCATAACCCAGGAAAACTGTAAGAGACAGACATGGGGCCCCATACAGAAACCACTTATGAAGCTGGGCTGTTAATGTGGTGGTCCATAGACAGACTGAAGCCACCGGCTGATGAAGGCCACTCCATCACTTTTAGGACAGCCACCCCACTGGCTCTGAGCTGCTCTTCTTTCAAATCCTTGGAAGAGGAATTGGGATGCAAAGGAAAAGGAGAAGGCTTTGGTAGGAGAAAGGATGCCTTTGGTGTAAGTTAAATAAGGAGGACAAACCTCCCCAAGCTCCAAGGGGGATGGTGGAGATGGCTGTGCAAGGGTATTTCACAAGTATGGAGGTAGGAAAGGGCAGCACTGACCCTGCCTGCTCAAAGTGCACGCTCCCTCCCCCCGGCCAGGGCACACAGCAGTCACAGCTCCATCATCTTTGAGCAGGACATTGAACACAGGGCGCTTTCCGGTGCCCTGCTCAGAAACAGAATGAAGAAACCTGATGAAAGGGCAAAAAAGAGCCATGCAAATGCCAGACTTCGCAGTTCAAGCAAGAGGTTTACAGGGGCTGACCCATTCGATCTGCCAGAAAGAAGGCAGATGGGTGTGTGATGGCACCTTGTAACACACCCTTGTGCCGTGGATGGTATAGGGATTAGAAAACTGCACACGTGGGCAAAGGCGATGCTAAGCCCCGGCTGCACAGAGGAGGAAGCCGCAGCAAAGTCTCCTGCTCATTTCCAAGAAGGCGCATAGGCAAGAAAAGAAGCTGTTTGGGAATTCAGTGTCGTTTACAGTTTGGCTTTTATTTTCATTGACTTCAACAACAAGGTGTTCCAAAACACACACAGGTCTCGGTGCAGGCAACACTGTCATTGCTACAAGCATTGGCAGATTCTCAGCTCAATTAACCCATACGCTTTGATGTATCAAAACAAAACAAAACAAAAAATCACAGCTCTACAGGGGAGGGTAAAAGCTACAGCAGTTCAAACTCACTTGAAGATTCCAGTTATACAGAAGTGGGCTCCATAGTGGTATACAGTAGAAAGAAGGTTTTCACAGCATATATTTTAATCATTAGTGATGCAGCAGAAAAGCTCCATCTCGCTGCTGAATTGGAAAAGCAGATATGGAAGTTCTTGCACCCAGACTCTGGGCACAGCATTAACTGCATTAACCTTTATAGTCAGAAGCTTCCTAGTTCCTAAAATGACGGTATTTTTGCATCAATATTTGTACAATACTGAAGCAGCTCAGAAGGATTACACAATGGAGATGCAACACCTTGGAGGTGAGAAGGGCACAACCTAGTTCACCTCTGGGAATTTGCAAAGTACCCACGCTAAGACTTTCCCCGCACTAACACTGCCCCGCTGAATTAATTCTTGCATCGAGTCAAGAGCAGGATGACTCGCTTCTTTTGTAGCATACAGAAAAGAAAAAAAGGACATAGTAAGTTTTCACACTGAGCATGTTAAATACTTTGAAATCTAGGACGCTGCTCTTTGAAGTGTTACAAAATAAAATGTTCAGTACCCCCCTCAACTGCAAAGTAACACAGGAATCTCAGTATGAAAAATACAAATATATTTGTCCAGTCACAAGTCATTTGGTACAAGGTATACTTTAAGCATTCGGCATAAAAATAATAATTAAAAAAAACAGAAAAACAAACAACATTTTATTGTGGTTCTGTCAGACCCGGTAGCCCAAGAAGAAATAAAAATTGGCATGTTATGCTGTAGGAAACAAAAATTACACATACAAAAAAATATTTATATACACACACTTTACAGGGTAACCATCTTGCATTACTATTTAGAGCTATCCAAAATAGGCTTGCACAGTTACCGAAAGGCAGTCTTTGAATGCAACATAGACCTGGCACAACAGACAGATGGAGGAGGATGCTAACAATATCAGACTTAAATGAAATACGTGGTACACAGCAGGGACAAGAAAACAGTCACTGCATTGAAACGAGATTATTTGGTTGTCGCAAGGTAGGATGACAAGTCATTTAAGATGCTTTTTTCATCTTTCCCCAACAAAAAAAAAAAGTCAGGCTTACTGTTAAAAAAAGCAAGCCAACTTGAAAGCAGCTGTGCTGAGCCGAGCTCCTCGGTTGAGGTTTGTTTGGTATACGTTAGTCTCACTACCTTGGCCAATATAAATGTGAAAATAGGCACTCTGTTCAGTTACTTGTCCACAGGATCACTGGCAGTCAGAGGAAATGCCTCAGAGCACAGCTGCTGTAGAACCAATAAAGAAAAAAAACAGAGAAAAATCAATTTCTCATGTAAACATGACATTTTTCAGTAGCAACACTCGTGTTACCAGGAACTGGTCCTGTTCAAAGGCATTGGAAATTTCTTTCTTTTTTTACTCTCCACTTCTGGTTGTTCATCACTTAGTCTATAGTCACCAGCAACAAACCACAACAGGCTCCAGCCTATTACAGATATATCTGAAGACGGTTCTACTTTACTTGGCAGGAAACCAATCTAGCATGGTCTAAATAAAAGATTGTCTGGTTTTAGGATAGCTGAAGCCCTACAAATCAGTGTGCAGCTCTTAGTTGGTCCTCTGTTCAACTGGAGGCTGGGCAGGCAAATCCTTATGCTAAACTAACCAGGCTGCATACATGGCAAAGCCTAATTCTCTAGCTTAAATATCAGTAGTGGTACAGAATGGCTAAAGGTTGGGTGGGGGACAGAAGTCAAGAGCGACCGATGGCTGTATTTGCATTTATATCCTGAAACAAGCAAACCAGGACATACACATGAATGTAAATTCAAAACAAGAAGAGACAGCAGGTTTGTTTTTTCCCAGAGAAGGCGAGGGAAAAGGAAACAGTGGGTTGCAGGTGGCCGTAAGCGCTAGCCTGCCCAGCAAAGTGCATGTGCTGTCTCCGCTGGAGAGTATTACACATGAACAGAGCACTCAGCTCTGTGGGAAGAGGCTGTTTAAGTGCGACATTCAGCAGACCGATTCCCATTTATTTTTTGGATGAACTGCCAGTTCAGGGTTTGGTGGCTTTGGGGTTTTTTGCATTTGGTTTTGGGGTTGGGGTTTTTTTTTGGCTTTTTAAAAATTTATTTTAACCTTCCTGCTTTTCAAAGCGGGATCGCTGGATGAGAGAGACAAGTTTGCAGGTCAGGATGCCCACAAGGTTTGTGAGGATTCAAAAGTCAAGAAAAGAAGCCCTCTCCCCAAAGGAAAACATGAAACAAGAACAACGCCTTCTTGAGAAGGTCAACGGCTTTCAAGGAAATACCACCCGCCTTCCCCCTTCGCTCAGCTCTTCCCCTTGCAAGAGCTGGGGTGGAGGTCGCGGTCCAGGAGTACGACCTAGACAGCATCAAGAGCATAACTAGCATGAGCGAGCAAGAAGGCTCCCTCCGCCCTTCGTCCAGGGGTGCAGTACCAAGCAGAAGGAAGACAAATGAAGGGCTGAGCAGTTTGTGGCCAAGGCGGGGTGGAGCAGGGTCCGCGGAGCTCACTCTCCTTCCTCCTTGATGCGTTGCTGTTTGTTGCGCCGGGCATCCATGTCGAAGTTGAAGTCGTTCCACTCGTCGCGGGGCGGGAAGGAAATGGTCTGCCGGAGCGTGAAGCGGACCGCATCGATGACCCGCTCCCCCCGGGTTTCGCTGGAGCCCACGCTGACGGTGGAGGCGCCGCTGGGGGTGCGCAGGAGGTGGGGAGGGGAGGAGAAGTCATGGAGCTGCCGGTGGTCCAGGATGCCCTTCCAGATGGCATGGCGGAACTGCTCCGGGATCTTGAGGCTCACCAGATCCTGCAAGGCAAGGTGGAGGGCTTAACAGGGCAATCCCTGGGCAAGCTGGGCTCTGGAGTAGAAGCAGCCTCTGGGCCACCCTGCAAATGCCTATCAATCAACAAAGCTGCTAAAATCCAGGTGACCATGATGCACTGTAGAAGACAAACCACTAATCCCGAAGGTGGTGTTTCACTTCTGAACAAGCACACGTAGCCATGAGGCAGCAAGGACTAATGACACAAGGTCTGTTTTGAAGTTACACAAAACACACATTCATGCATAAGATATGGTGACCTAAAGCTAGATGTTTAACTGGACTGCATGGCCTAGAAGACAACCTCAGGAAGATCCGCTGGTTGTCTATGGTGGGGGATGCTAGGCTGCCGAGGTTCAACAGCTTTGAAAATGTACATGTTTATTTCAAAGCCTGCAAAAGAATTTTAGAATCCAAGTCTGAGCTCCAGTATTCGAAGCTCTGGGTCTGACTCTATAGGAACTGCGTTAATTACCTGAACATAACCAAAATTTAAGAACAGACACGTAACCTTAGAAAACTTGGACTTTTAGGCCCCATCATCTCTGGCGCAGTACCCGAGGGCAGCATTACCTAAACTCTGGGAAATGTGATAACAGCTTCTGAAAAAATTAGCAACCAGCTTTGGATAATTTGGGTCAGCTTTTCTAATTAAAGCAGCAGCAGAAGGAAGGCAGCCCACGCTAGGAGGCAAAAGCACCACAGCCTTGCAAAGTCTCGGGGCAAAAAAATGGGACAGCCAGCTCTGAGGAGAGCAATGGCACAGGAGAGGAAGCAGCAACCCTGCAGCAAAAGCCGTGCAAGAGAAAAAAAACAGCTGGGCTGAGATGCCAGTGGCAAGGGAAGATCATTAAGGTAAGGCCAGAAAACAGAAGCAGGGAGGGAAAAACGCAGACGACTTCTGGACAGCCCACTTGTCTGCAGGCCAGTGAGGTGTTTCAGAGCAGTGTAAACTGAAACCAAGCCTTGCAGAATTAACAGGCATGTGGGCTGGGGCCACTTCGGGGGCTCAAATGCAGTGGTGGGGAGGGGGAGACACTCTTTGTGCCAGGCAAGGCAGTTACAATGCTGGCCCTGAGTCCAGCCTCTCTTCACCTCACAGTAAGTCTTCTCTGTGTGCAACAGCCTTAGATCAAACTAATCATATAAAAATAAAAAGATACTGAGTCTGGATTTCTGACCTGTTCCTACAGCAGGGCCAAGAGTGCAAACAAAGGAAATGGTGAGGAGTTACTTACATCCATGGAGTAATGCTCAATCTGATAGATGGTGGTCAGCCCCTGGGTCGTGAAATAATCCACACAGGATGAGCAGCCCAACCTCGCTAAGAAGCTGCAGAGGAGGAAGGAAGGAAGGAGAGAGAAAAAAGGATCACCCTGGCTGCAACAGCCCAAACCACAGAAAAACCAAACACTCAGCCAACCTGCAGCAACAGGAAACAAAGCTTTCACCCTTGCCTTGACCTTCTCCAAGACATCCCAGGACAGCAAGCCACATCGCTGCCACATCAAACAAATGAGGGAGTCTTTCAGCTTGGCTCCTAGCAGACAACCCTCGTGGCAGCACCTTGCCTTAGTCAAGAGCCAGTGCTACACAGCCTGGATCTTGGGGCAGGAAGGCTCACCTGGACCCTTGTGCCAGGTCATTTCACCCGGAAGGTGAGCCCGTGGCAGCCTTCTGCATGGATAGAGGGCTTCAGCAAGGCGGTGGGTCTGGGGCTCAGGCACATCATGCACACAAAGTACTTCAAATCAGCACATTCCTCCCTAAGCGTAAAGGATTCCTCCTTTATGGGCAGCATCTTTCAACCTGTTCGACCTCATGGAGGGCAGAGGGGCTTCTGACCCCAGCCATGGCTTGCCGAGTGGCCAAAGGGAAAAAAAAAAAAGAAAAAAGGGAAAAAAGAAAAAAGAAATGTTTGCAAGACTGCCTGGCGCCCTCAGCTCCACCAGTCCAATAGATGCTGCATCCCTTGGCTTTCTTGCAGTCCTAACGTTCCTGTTTCAGCTGCTCAGAGGTGGGGGTTTAGAGGCTTGGTGCCCAGAGGGTGCCAGCCCTGGGACTGCCAAGACCCACTGGGATCCAGTGCTCCAGGAGAACGTGGCGAGTGACCCAGCAGGACCCTTCAAGCTCCCAACGCGAGGCCTCCGCTCCCTGCGGGTGGGAAACGTGCGCCGGGCAGCCTGCTCCCGCTCACCTGACGATGCTGCAGTCTGTGGGGTACGGAGGAGGAGGGGTGCAGTGGGACGTTGAAGGCATGGAGAGGGGAGGAGGCAGCGCCTGCGTGGGGCTGAGGCCATTCATGTCTCCGGTCATGGCCATGTGGGTGCCCATCATGGGAACTGGAGGAGAGAAGGAGGAGCACATTGTTACCCAGGCATCCCCAGACCCCCACTTCGCCCCCAGCATGGCACCAAGGGACAGCACCCGCAACCGAAGCGGCCTTAAATCCCCTGCAAAGGCCTGCACGGAGCGAACTCAACGGGGAATTTCAGGCAAGGCCACAATGACCGCACAAAGACCAGATGACAGACAGTCCTTCAGGAGCTCTCCCCTCGCCAGAGCAACTGTCAGCAGCGCCACCGCGTCACCTTCCCTTACAAACAGGCTCGGTAGAAACCTAAGCAAGCCACGGGCATCTCGGCTTTCCCTGCTGCAGGAGAGGAGCGGGACAGAGCCAGCAGAGTAACCCAATACAGAAGCCAAACAGCTTTGTTTTCAGAGACACCGAGCACCCAAAGGGGATCAGCAACAGGTGTGGGCAAGAGCCCAGCGCTTTTGAAATTAAAGAAAACCCCAAGAAAACTCAGGCCCCAGAACTATGTCTGTCATCGTGGATTTACAGGGCTGCTGGACACTCTTCAGCAGCCAGGAGGAAGCAGGTTACAGAGCTGCGAGATGCAGATACTTCCTTTGAAACTAAGAAGTGTCTTAATTGAACTGAGGGGAAAAAGTTTGCCAACGTTCGCATCTCCTCTGCTGGGAAAGGAAGAAACAACAAGCCTTGAAAGATAGATGACAGTGCAGCCAGCCAGATCTGCAGCAAGAAGTAGCTCTTTTCACTCCTGTGAGGCTCAGAGCAGGATGCTGAAGCTTGGAGAAAGGAGGTGTCTTGCCCCATGGCACAGCAGTGAGCAATATTTGACTCTGCAGGTTCCCAGCTCTGCTACCACGAACGACTCCAGGCTCCCTGGACTAACACTAGCCACTTGGAGATGCCAAGTCTCCTTCCCTAGATTAGTGGAGTGCGCACACAAAGCAGGAGAAGGAGCGAGTGTTTCTTACTGTTGGTTCCCATGCCGTCGGGGATGGTGGTTGGGGTCAAGGCATTGCGCTGCTGGGGGTTGATTAGCTGGCTGACCGAGGGCAGCTTGTTCATGCTGTTCATTTTGCTGAGCGGTGGAGAGTTGGAGCCATAGGAAGACTGCGACTGCATGGAGGTCCTGCAAACCAAGGAGATGTTAGGACAGGAATCACAGCGGTTGGTTGTTAAGAGCTCGCTTCCAAGGGGCTACGTTTTTTGTTTGTGGCAGCAGTGAGCTACTGCTGGTGAAATCACTGACGCCATGGGAGCATCGCAGATAAAGATCATCGGAGAGAGAGTCAACAGGAAATAAGAAGTTTCCCAGATATTCTGGGCATTTAAAAAACAAATGGTGAAATACTGACAAAGGGAAGCTTCACTTTCAGTTCAGATTTCTTATTTAAGGAGAAGTTTCTAAGTAAGTTTTTCAGTTGAAGAGAACATACGCAAAGCCAGCAAACAGCTGCCAAAACTCAAAAATAGTATTTTTAAGTTAAGCTCTCCTCGTGGTCAAAGGCTTTTCATAAGAACAAAAGCTGAGGAAGCTACCTCAAACCATCCTAACTACCCCTAAAACCTGACTGCAGAAACAATTTTCAGATTGGGTCACACTTATCACCTTGGTTTCTCCAAAATTCCTAGTTATTCATGTAATCAGGTTGTTACCAGGTGTACATATAACAGCCAGAGGCTCTTTGCTCAAGACAGACTCCATACACCTTAGGGACCACTACTGAGATGGTCAGAGCTGCCTGGGATGCCGACACGCAGCTTTTGCTGGTGTTAAGGAGAACTCTGTATCCAAACCCCACAGGCTGCTTGCAAAGACTATCAGATTCTTATTACCACTCGGCAACAGCACTAGCCTCCCTCAAGTCCAGACAGCCCCAAACTTCATCCAGCATATCTATGAACCGGGCCAGAGAAGCTTGCTGGCGAGCTCCCCCGCCCCAGCCCCGAGGGTCCCAGCTGCAATCCCGCCTCGTAAGCGATCCAGAGCGCGAAGACCAGACTGCTTCTGAACAGTAGCCCAGTTCCCAGATCGAGTTACAGCTGCGGCATCCCATCTGGAGTGGGGTCTTACTTGGGATATGCAGAAAATGATCATTAAAGCGGGCCCAACAGCGCAATTGGCAGAGCATTGGCATGCCACAAGAGCGCGGGTTTTTCTTTCTCTGACACTAGGGGCATTTGCAAGACTGAGCAAAAGGTGCTGGGGAAGCGTGCACGCTTTCCAAACACGATGTACCCTCGCAAGCCATGCTTGCCCAACAGAGCAGAGGTCACCCGGCTTGCCGCAGAGCCCGGCACTCATTCGGCCATATCACAGTGACCCTGCGGTGAACGTGCAAGGGCATATTCCCATCTTATTTACCATTGGAAAACTTGTTCGTCTGGGTATAACTGGTTACACCAATTCCTGGGAACTGGCTTTCCTTCTATGCAAAGGGACTAGTTATTACTTCAAATAAGCAAAGTGTAAAGGAAGAAAAGGCTTATTCCTAGATAATTTATTAAAACCTTCAGCACTCAAGGTCAAGTTTCATACAATTACATTGTCTCCAGCTTCCTGCACTTTTAAGACTCACAGTGTTGGGTGGCAAAAACATCTATGCTAACAGGCTAGGGTATCTAAGGCCCTGAAGAAATGTTACCTAATTACACAATTACAGGAGGTACAGAAGGGTGTGAACTGTCCTTTGGCAGTGAAAATGCAGGACAAGATCCAGCAAACTTCATAGACTCAAGGAAGTGGAAAGCACAAGAAGCTTCACAAATTAATATTAATGATGGCAGCAACTCCCAAGGGGAAGTGAAACTGAGCCATGAAGTTCAGACCCAACTTTTCAGGGTGAAGGGAATGATTCGGATCCGAGGCTTCAATTCACTAATTATAAAACTTTAGGCCAGCCATGAAATTCAAGTCAGGTTAACACCACCATTAACCTAAGAGGCTTCTGGATTTAGGACCAAAATTCATATTTCTACTTTACAGGTTCAGGCACTTATCCTAAATGAGCTTCAGCTGAAATTAATGCACACCTGAGTAGTCTCTTAGGACAAAATCTGCATGATATGCAAGTGAGGAGGTCACCACATACACAGTGAAATTCCAAATCAAATCAACAAAGACTTCCCAAAAAAGATTTAGTTGCATTGTTTAAGCTCAGGACAGATTTTATTCAGAAAGCTCATGACTAGAAACTTTTTTTTTTTTAAATGGATGCCTGTTGCTACAATACAAGATTCTCCAAGGTCAGTAGCGGGCCTAACTTTGCCCTCTCCACCACCAACAGTGATCTCAGCAAAGCTAGTTAGGAGACTACAAAATACTTTGGGGATTAAAAAAAAAAAAAAAAGCAAGCAAGCAAACAGAGGCCAACCCAAAGCACCCTATGCTATAGAAAACAAATGCATACTTTAACATCTAGCTTAAGGATTCCACTATTATCTCATTCACACTCATAAGAATCAAGCTCAAGACAATCAAGCTCAAGTGAATAAAACAGGAAACGAAAGCATTTTTCTTCATACCCATACTCGTTTCAACTAAACTATTCCATCACGTGAACAGATGTGTGAAAGGTCTAGAGAAAGCCATCTAGCCAAAGAAAAGTCCCAAGATAAACCAAGATGCAAAATTTTATTGAAAATTAATGTCACACATCAATATAGCAACAGCCTCAGAAACACAAGAAAATGTTTTTGGTATTAAACACACAGACTACATGGCGTTTGAGGATTCATTTGAAATGTATGGCTTTTCTCTCAATTTTTTTTAAAACAGGTATTATAAGAATGTCATGCACAGTGATTTTCATTAAAATTGTACTTACTATGTCTCAAGAAAGATTAGAAGTAGGAGCATTAACATTTCTTTGATATCAACGCCAGTGAAATGCATTTTAATATCAAGGTATAAGGACTTCAATTAAGAGACTATTATACTTCTTGGAACAGTCTGATACGAAAGGCACTGAGTCACATTCTGCAACTGATTTTTCTCTCTTCAAGAGGCTATGTAATTATTTAGCCAATAACATTTGTAGTTATGCAAGCTCATATGAGGGCAGTCGCCTCTCATGCTTCAAGGCATATACTGATCATCTCAAGAGGTCAGGAAGGAACTTCCTTCTCCCACATATGAAGCACAGTTCAGTTCACGGATTACCTTGTATAATTCTGTGCTGTCCCAGCTCACTGGATATCAGCCCTTCACCAGAGGTAGGAAACTGCTTGGATAGACCAATTACCTGATTCAGCAGACAAGTCCTAGAGTCCTCATTCACATTAGATGAGCACACCGTCATGTAAGCAGCCTTAATGCAAATGACATCAAAGGTTCATTAAGTGCAAGAATAGGGCAGCTCAGGCTCAGAGAGTTTAAGATTTCACTCAAGCCCCTGTGCCTACACTTTGCCGTCCCTGAAGACCTAGAGCTAGTCACAATGCAGAGAGACCCAAGTGAAATCAAAGCTGTCCAGTTCTGGGCCCGCCTTTCCTTACAGTAGCCACAGCAAGTGCAGCAAGGATAAATAGAAAAGTTCACACATGGTCAACGTGCCCATTGGCAATGTTTTTTCAAGTAAGGTTGCCCACTGGGCTGCATAACACTGGGATGTCATTGATGTAGTCTAGTAATGGCACACAAATGACACAGAGGATGCTCAGTTGCACTCATCCACTTTGAAGGCCCGTGAAGCGGGACACTAAAAAGCAGAGAGATGCTCTCCACATCTCAAACAGCTGCTATTCTAAAGCAAGCAATATTGCATCTTTTCAACCACACGAGTGGTTTGTAAGCTTGGTAACTAACTGGGAGCGTGGAAAGGAGGAGCCCTGATGGTCACTAGGCAGACAGCAACTACAGCACAGGGACAAGGGTGCCGATAACGACTCCCCTTAGATTTCAGGTATGGGAATTTCCCAAGGCAGGCAGTGGATGCAATCTGCTCTCCAGGGAATGGAGCTATAATACAGGGAGTAGATATACATCAGCTAGTTGACATAGACTGATATGACCTGACTCGACCGATAAGGCCCAATTAGTCTACTTGGTTATTCCTTGAAAGGAAAAGGCTTACTCTTCTGAAGCCCCAGAGATGACAAAGAAGCAATCAAAAGACAGCTGGGAAAAAGTTTTCTTCTTTTATCTGCAAAGGACAGACTACGAAGCAACTCCAGTTGCTTCCAGCTCCAGGTTATTTGACTAAACAAAAAAAAAAAACCACCAAAAAAATCCACCTTCTAAGATAACCACCTAGTAGCTGGAGAGCAAATCAAGTCACCATTAAGACCAGTTTCACAATCATCATCCTTTTATAGGTAAGGAGGACAAATCCAAAAGCCTTTCCAGAGGACAGTGGGATCCAAATAATTTACATTCTTGTTTGGTGAAGTCCCAGGTGCTGTATTGCCCATCATGGTACAAGAGATTTCCTAGAGGTCAGACCAGATAATGAACTGGAGCATGAGCTGGAATCTCCTGGTGTGGGCCGTGGACACCTTGTATCTTCTGGTGGGCTGCCTCCTCAAACTTGGTGGTGGACAGGCCCTGGAACAGAGCTCTAGATACAGATTAGTGTGTCCCTGTTGCAGTATTTCTGTATTGCCATCCACAAGCAGGCAAGACCAAGATCCAGGAATAAACCTTCATTGGAAGGACAGACTGACAGTGCCAAGCATAATCCTGTGTCTGGGCTTCATTTGCAGTTCAGATTCCCACCTCTCACAGGGAAAGGAATAGTATTGCCTTTCTTCTTCCAAATAGAAAGGCACAGAGAAATAGTTATATGCTTTGTGATCTCAAAGTGCTTCCTGGAGTTTCCAGGCAAAGTAAAGAGGCACTTGATTTGGTTAGTTTTACACAAGGAGTGATGGTAGAGCTGCAACTGTATGAAATTGTCACTGCTAGTATTTAATTAGTTATTATTTATACTTAATCACAATTTTGGGGGCTCTTGTCCATCAGCCCTCCCCCACACTGCTATAGTACCACAAGTCTTGCTAAGACAACAAAGGAGATATCCAGAGATGGGATACGGCTCTCAAAGTACGAGTCATCACCTGCTCAGATCACAGCTCTGCTGCCTGGAAGCAGACGATGTGATGTTCAGAGATAAGAGTCTTCTCCCACTG